AAAAACAAGAAGCCTTTGAACAGAAATTCCTTCTCCCAACAGAAAAGCATAGTTGTAATTTGGCTCAAGGCCAAACGGCTCACAGGTTATAGGCGCCTAAGCTCACGTGCGAAGCGGTCTTGATAACGTGGACTTCCACGATCCTTGAAGGGCATATAGCTAAAAATTAGTTTTGATGATTTAAGAATTTTAGAGTTATCGTTCATAGCTGTTTTAAATTTGTGTGCAGCGTATGGCACATACTGATTACTGGTACTCTTAACAGAGACAACTAAGACTACTAGAGAAGTTCAGAAGCGGGACTTACGATCCCAGTTTTATTATGTTTGCGCGTCACCCCGCCTACACAATTAACTATTTCCCTCATGAAAAATTTCCTGTCAATCGTTTCAAATCTATAGAATTCAATCTCATCAACTTTTTGCCTTCAGCATTTTAAAAAGGAGCATTAATTATATGCTGCATTGATGCAGCAAAGTTGTTGAAAAACTGGCAAGATTTTTAATGATTGAAATTTTGAAATCAATTCTCCACACATTAGATAACTTATTCATTTGTTTTCTTAGCCACGCACGAGATTGGCAATAGATTTATTGGCTGGCGTTTCGGCAGGACTGCCGTCTTCAGAGCCCTTTAATCAGTCGATGTCTCTCCTTAGAGAAACGACCGCTCAGTGACCAAATACGCAGACAATGATGTTATTGACGTTGAGTAAGGATGTAAGTAGACAAGCCAACTATATTATTTGGACAGAACTTTCTTTATAACCTAACAATTACAATTATATAAAGGAAATTTTCATATTAGTCGTTTCATTACAAAATTTCTTCACATGGGTCACAAAAATGGTCTTTAACAAAAAGATATTCAATTTTAACAATAATACACGTTATCAACGACATGTCGAAGATATGTAGCGATCAAAACAACGGCTGATACATTCTCTTAAGAACGCTGAACCTGACTGTGTCACAAGTTCTAGATGCCTTTTATAGGAATGTATACATTTATATTTCAAAACTATACGACTTCATACAAATATATATGCGTTATTCCGGTCCATGACTTTCCCATACCTTTCTGGTAAGTGAAATTTTTCTCCTATAGAAATTCAACAGCTTATCAGCTAAAAACTGCCCCGAGTCGTTTCCACAAGTATCAAGACAAAGCTTATGTCTATAATGAGATTCAGGATAGTCCCAAGCAAATAGTTTAAACTGCAGGGCTACGGTTCGATGTAGTAGCAGAGCGCTCATCGAGAGCCAGCAAATTGATTTTCTGAAGAAATAAGTGGCATCGTCGCTATAATAAATGTTTTTCAGTAATTCGGGCTTTCTACGCTTACAAAGTTCAGTTATCAGACAAAGCTTTGATCACAATCTCAACTGACACTGTTGCAGATCCTGTCCACCGCCAAAATGGCTTATTTCAGAAAAAATCGTTCAAATTCTTTTTACAGGAGTCGCAAATAAAGTTCCAATCAACTTTTGCTCCATCACCTGTAGCAATCACCGCCTCACGGCAAATTGACATGATAGCTGCGACCGACCTCTTTTTTTTTGGTAGGACGCCTATCACAAATCGCCTTCAGTAATTCATTCTTTAATATTGTAGTGTCATCTTTTGCAACCGAGGAATGGTCCTTCAGCCGCAACTCCTAAGTTCATACTCATTTAAGATAATAACGGAGCGCGATTATACTTTGACTAGAGACCTTTCTTAAACTATGCTTTTTATAGACTATAATAAAAATTTTCGCTGGTTTACAGAATTGCATCGTCGGGAAAGAAAGATTTTGATACTGTAAGCTAGCTTAATGATTCCTTCAAAAATGTTGTAACCTCTACTTCTGACACAACAGAACTATTACCTTTTCTAATTTCTTTATACACAACACTATTTATCATCTCCAAAAAACTGTACATTAAGGAAAATATATGAAAGGAAATCAAGCAGTACAGGCAGAGCAGTAGAATATACTACTTTTCACACATAATAGATCGAGGTGGAGATATAAGAGAAGTCGAAGGCAGTTGCAAAGATGTGGTAATAAGAGAAAGGCCCGTAGTAAAGTTCCCTTCAGGTGAGATGATTTGAACTTACGAGGCTAGTCCAACTGCACTGCGTACACACATGTTGCCGATCCCTACGCCATAGTATAAGGATACAAAGTCCGCAAATGGACACGTTGAAACGCGGTCCTGTGCTGAGATGAACTGAGCGCCTAAGAGGTGAATTCCCCTAACGGGTCATACGAGAGGAGTAGTGTGTGTTTTATGAGAGTCCGCCAGGAGAACTTAGTTGATCGCATCAACTTACGAGTTCCCCTGACGAGGGCTATCTTTGCGTCAAAGTTGGAGCATCATCGACCCAAAATTCCACACTGTGCTAGTGGTTTTCCCAAAATTCACTGATAATCAATGACTTGGTTCAAAACCGTTCTTTCTCCAACTTTACAGTGCACCTATGATCCTCCATGTAACTCCTCACTGACAAAACAGTCCAGCATTGAGCGGATTTGAACCATGGTCAGTACTTTAGTAGCCACCACTGAACTATCATTCATGACATGACGGAGTTTGAAGTTGATTACGCATGATGGATTTTTTCAATTAATTATTTCATCGAACCTTGCATGCTTTGGAGTGAATTTACCTGACGCTGTCTTCAGGTGCCTCTGCTGAGGGGACTTTACCACGGGCCAAAGTCACAAGATAGCGAAGAAATTACACAATACAACAGGATGAGCTGCAGGGATAGAATTTATGAGAATTTCTTAATAATTAACTATTGGCAGCACTTAGTGCTCTAATTTGTCGCGTGCTAAACTCTTTAGTCTTTCTCAACTCTTGTCCTAAAACAAATGTTCCTATTTTCAAGTTTTCAAAATTCTGCCGCAGAATCTTATGCGACGCTATACGCGACACTACCTAAAAGCCCAAAGCAATAGTCGTAGACATGCCAAGCATCTCCTGGAAAGAATAGAGCTCTCAGCCTTAAACCACTTTTTATAATTGCAAACACTATCGACTAGTCAAATTTATCTATTTACTAGGTAGTCAAAAGTTTGAGATCCATGATCTTGATTTTCTCTATTTCAGGACTCTTACAACACCTTCGTCATTAATGTCTTTGATGGTTGAGCTAAGCGTACTGTACGTTCCCTTTCGCACTCGTCTGACAAAACCACACTAGTCACTCGACAATCGACAAGCTTGAGCAATGGGGCGACATCTACCTAAAATATATACTCTTTTAGTTATAATTATATTGTGGTATCACACTAACCAGCGATATGTACGAAGCATATTTGGAATCTGTTTATGTGGGAGAAATACAGACAACTATTTGGTAGCTTTTCTGTAGAAAGTTGCATTGCCGTTCAGAACCAAGTTGAACATAATTTATATAAAAAATTAAGTAGAAAGTGAAGAGTACATAGCCCTTGACTGCTATCTTTTTGCATTTATTTTAGCCACTAACTGTTGCCTTTCCCCTATAAATTTACACTGTGCCCTATCCTAGTGATTCATAAACACGCTCCATACACAGATACGATGAAGATACATACCAGTCCAATGTAGATGGTATCCACAGTACTCCGTTCAAGGATACTTTTAAAGTAAGCCGTCATCAATTGATAAGGCGTCACTTTCCTGATTCTTCCATTATGGCAGCATCCAAATGGGTTTGAACTGAAAGCGTCCAATCACTGTGACTCGTACTAATTACAAAGTTTGTCATTTAGTTTATTAACATGTTTAATTTTATTTCTATTTATTTTATTTTAATTTATAAGCATATGGGGATCATCTATAATGTCGCTTGAGATATTTGACCCAATGCAATGTGGCCAAGCCAATAAGTGAAACCAGGGAAGCTATCTTCTATAAGGAGGCTTTTTTACTTAGAAAAATATCAAAAATATTGCCAAAACTTCCATTTAGTAGAATTCTTCATGTTTGACCTTTCGTTGGGTAAATAATGTTATAGCTCATTTTCTACTCCCCTTCAAACTCCTCTTTTCGACCTTACCCTTTTTAGGCGAAAAAGGGCAGTTAGCATGACATTTAATAATGAACAAGTTCTGGGAGGTGACCCTGCGAGGAAAAGTATATTTTTGTCATAGTTAACGCATAAAGACAAAAAAGGGGAAAAAGAGCTAAGTACGTAGATGTCACTCAGTAATTTTGCAAGTAACAGTAAATAAAATATGAAAAATTGTGTTGAATCTGGACTTACTAGTCTGTTTTTACTGTCTTTACATCGGTAGTACCACAGTATGAACTGCTAAACTCTTTTCGTAATCGTGAACCATCATCAAATGCTATATCGATGAAATAGTACTGAAATGAAAGCTAATACTAATTGCACTTTACAACTCTGAATAAATTCAGTCATACATTTACAGATGGCATTCCTCGTACAATCACTCCAGCAAATTTCTCTCGACGAGCCTTTACGATTTGTCGACATCGTCGATTAACCATGGATAAAGTACGGCGTTCTGAGAAACTAAGGTAGTCACATACAGTGCTGATTATCTCGTTTGGTAACTCTGCCCATTTAATCATCTGTAAGAAAAGAATTCTATAGGGACGTCAAGTCTGAACGA